TTTCAATCCAATCTCCGTAAATGTTTCAACTTCTCATTATCTTCGTTTATATAACGTTAAGAGACTAGCATTACAGTTGTGATAAGAAACCTTAATCTCACCTTCAGCCACACATCACTCCATCTTCGTCGACTGCTTGTGTGGTGATGGATGGTATTACGCTAAGTACATTGCATGCTGCAGTCATTACTTCAGACCCGTGACCTGTAAAGTGAAAGCCAAAATACGCGATGTAAACGATTAAAGCTAGAAATAACTGTTCCAACATAAAGAGCGTTTTCCCTGAACCCGATAATGGAATTACAAAACAACTGTGGCTATTTATTTTGTTTTGGACGCATATCTATTAAGAACTCACGTTCACTATAATTAATGAAAACTATTTCACACTAAAGTCACAGTCGTGATTTTCATTCGATTCATATATAATTATTAAAAATGCATTGATCTTTTAATTTTTCATGGTTTTGAATTTTGAACAATGTAATTAACTTGATCTACAATGATAAGATACACAATCATCGCTACATAGTTTAGCACAGATTCCTGGAAATATTTATGGAGATGTATTCTTTATAGCTGAAATTGAAGGTTTCGATTTAACATTTACTTGTAAATATGTTTTAATTACGATAATAAAAATAGAGTACTGGTTTCTAGAGCGTGAAACAAGAACATTATGAAGTTCCCCAATGCGAAATCCCCAGTGTAGTCAACTCGATCAAAGCCTCGCGAGTCAAATATAGACGAACGTTATTCTAACTTGTGTCTACACGGTTGTAGCCTCCCATGTAAGCCAGAGGCCCGCCCGCAGACTAATGGGAACATAACTGCGACCTTTCGGACACGAGGGCTGCCTAAAAGAGGGGCGGCTCCGCGTCCGCCTCTACTAAGATAAATGGTGAGCGCGGGGCCCCGGGGTGCGCGCGGCATCATCAATCGCCAGGCGGTTATCCCGCCCCCAGGAGCCGCCCCGCTCCCCGCCCACGCCCACGCCCAC